ACAGCCACTTCATTAGCTCTGGAGCTACTTGTCCTCCGCTCTTCCTTAGTAGCATGTTGGACGCCTTCCGACCTGAGGCGCCCATCTTCCATCGTCATATCTTTTAGCCTTTTGTTTCTGATCATGGGGCATTCTTGGCAAAGATACTTGAGTGGCTTGCCAATTCCTTCTCCAGGTGGATTGCATTTAATCGGGACTCTCCACTATGACCTGTCCGTCTTGGGTGTCCGTGCACAGCATAGCCCATAGCTTCTCTGAGTTACTCAAGCCCCTTCGCCATGACAAGGCAGCAGTCCATGAAGAGGAGGAAAATGTATACAGTTGTGCTTTTCTTACATACTGCATTATTACTTCATGGAATTCACAACCCATAAGAAAATGTTAACAGATGAATAGAATATATGTCCATCAACTGCTATTAGGTAAATTCCCCCCTTATTCTTGATAAGTTGTGTATCTTTGAGCTGCTGAGGTGGAAAACCACATGGCAGAACGTTGGCTTCATGTCTTCCATGTGCACCAAGATGTAGATAAGTGAAGTGAAGGTACATATCAAGCAACAAAATAGAAACTAAATGTGGAGCGAAAGGAATAGTCAAGGAGGCTTAAGGAAGACAAAGCACTGGACAGATAGAATTAGAAAGAAGAAAGGCTAATAAAACAGAAATAGAGTTAACACTACAACCCTATATGTATCTGTTCAGAAGTAATCCTCTCTGGTCCCAGTATGTCTTGCTTCCAGACAAGTGCGGTGAAGCCTAAATGTCACATCGATGATTTGATTTAGTTAGCCATTTTTTTTTTGCCTTCTAGTGTAACAGTGTTGTCAGTTTATGTCACAAATGTGTTCTTATTTCACAGGCTCCTGCATAAATATCACCTATGGCCAGTGCCAAATGCTGCCATATAACCGCACCACTTTAACACCAGTCCTTTCCATTGTCAAAAGCATTGAAATGGAAAAATTTCTCAAGTTCTTCAGTTATCTCAGCCGCCTCAGCTGCTATCAACACATCATGCTGTTCGGATGCAGCCTTGCTCTTCCTGAGTGCATCAATGATGGTGATGACAGGTATTTGGGGACCCACGTTTCTCAGTGATTGGACCTAGTTATATCAGAATATTGCATACCTAATCTTAGCAACACGATCTGGAGTTAAGTCTTACGATCTCTTTCCTAAAACAGGTCTGTAATCTATAGCTGCCTGCCACAGATTTTTCCCAAGCAAAACCAGCTACAAGGAACATAAAAACAGACATAGGCATTCCTGTCCCTACCCTGTTCCTAAATTTGTGGTTCACAACTAATTTTCTAGGAGCAGAACAAGTTTCCATTTAGAGTGAGTTGATTCATATTACATAAATTGTGCAATGTGGTAAACACTTGTTGTCAGTCAAATGTATAAACAATCTTTCTTAGGAAGCATTCTATTTAGTTGCTATTGGGTTCTGTGACAATTATAATAATTATGCTACTTTTATTGCCTTTGCTGGTCAATGACCATAATGAAACATTTATTATTAGTACAGTATTACTTTTATTGCCAGTGGCAGCTAGTGGGGTGAAGGATAAGAAAACTAACTGTATGTGAACCCTTATGTATACAAAATCAGATATGACAACAAATACAGTCGATTGTAGATTGAACCTGTTAGAGCTTTTGCAATTTCTCTTGCTGCCTTCAGTTGGTTTAACTGGGAATTACCTTTTGGGGGTATGTGTCAGTCTATCCAGCAATAACCAATCATTCCTTACTTGCCCCTAAATTCAAGGAGAGCCGTGCTTCTCTGCTCAGTTATTTTCTTCTCCTTAATCTGTTGAGGTTTGTTGCTAAAAGCAGTCATGTTTGTCCGTTTGCTGTTTGATTTGTTCACATAAGTTATGATACCTTTATCCTTTTCCTATTAATGTCTCAGAGTTATTGAGATTGTAAGTGCCATTTAATGAGAAAAGGTTTAGGTGGTCCACTCTGGGGAACTTGAACCTGTTTTGCTCTGTAAATCCCTACACTTTTGCTGCACAGCTAGAGGAATTTAAAATTCAAAACTCTTCAGCAGAACCAGAGGTGACAATTGGTGGAGTCACTTCAAGAGACCAATAATGTCAACATCATAAAAAAAGGAGATAACCATTCCTTTCACGGTAACATCAGTGCTGTATGTAACAAACATCATTTAAAAAAAGAGAGAAAACCATTCCTTTCATCTTAAACTTTCTGTTCCAGTAGCTGTCTATTGCAGAGAAAAACAACCCAACCATCAAACCATATGGAATTTTAAATGCTTAATGTGCAGATACAATTCCACTCCCCCCCCCACAAATTTTCCTTGGAACTAAGCAGCAGCGTGTCCAATCTGGATCAGGCCAGAAATAAAATCATATGAGAAAAGAGGAGAGTTAAACCTTCTCTCTTTTTAGAAAACCTACCATCCCCAAATGAAAAAAGGAGAAAGAACTCACTTGTCCATACATGTACATGCAAATTTACTTTTTTAAAAATTGGAATAAATATTTAACCCTCCTCCATGTAGTTCTGGTAAGTGTGACATGAACCAGACTTTTGCAGATTTCTTCTGTTGCATACTACATATTTAATTCAGGCTGTAATTTAATCCTAAGGAAAGTTAGTTCAGCAAACAGGCAAGCAAAGTACAGGGTTGACGGTGTTTGATTCACCAACAACACAAAAAACATTTTGCAAATTTCTTCTCCATTAGCAAGCTGTTACATAAAACAAGCAAGTGGAAGTAAATCAAAACCAGTTTTGAAAAATTACAATCTTGTGTACAAAGCAGAACCTCATCACTCTTAATACATGCCCCTGTGTCTCTGTGCGCTTGTGTGCTTGATGCAGATATAGCAGTGTGACTCTTATTGGAAGTAGGATGTGCTAGTATAACTCTCAGTAGAACTTTAAATAAAATTAATTCTCCAAAAGAAGAAGTCTAATCATTTGCAATGTGATTAGCATCAGTTCACACATAATATTTCCATGTGATTACAGAATAATTCATGACTACTTTATGCAATGCTTTTATGTGCAATCACTGTGATTGCTTAGAAATGGCAAGCACAAATCCTAGGTGTACCACACACAATCTCTGTCCAAGGTTTTGTCAGCCTTATATGCCAACATCTGAGCCACCGGACTCTGGCAACTGATCACTGCGTATTCCCAAATAGTACTTTACTGCTGCCTTCCCCACCTGACTACCACAGGGAGGGGAAAAACAGCTTCATGCCTGAAGGATCTTTTCAGAGAGCACATTTTTAGCACATTGAATATACAATTGTTCCCCATTTGTTGTAGAACTTCCAGATTTTTCTTACTGAATCTTAGACTTCCCTTTTCTTATCTCCGAGTAAGATGCTATGTGAAAAGTGTACTTCTTTTTACTGACAATACAGTCATCACTATGCAAATGTAATAGGGCTGTTTGTGTGTCATAGTTTTGTCAAATATAAAACCCATCTCCAAGCACTTTAAGATTTAACTGTTTTGTTTGATTTTAATGCATCAGTAGCTGAACACTCCATGGTATCTGTTCCATTATGGGAGTGCTTGTCTAGACTTAAAATTGAACGAGCAGATACCAGCAAGGTCGCCCTCCTCCACTAGCCCACAACAATATCACATCATTTTATGAGTCGTTTGCTTTTAATTCATTTAGTTGTTTGAAAGCATGTTTGGGCTATAGTGTACTGTCAGTCGTCATCTAGAAACCTCTAACTAAGTTTACTTTTGCAGTGGCTTACAAAAAGAAAAGAGCAGAAACAATTGCGATGCTCATTTTTTCTACAAAAAGCTTCTAAAATGTTTTGACTTAAAACATTTCCAGATATTCTAAGAATATTGAACTTGTTGTCATATATTTGGTGTCTTTTTGTATTGGATTAAAATATCTGATACTGTGACTAGCAACTAATTCATTGTGTGCATTTTGTGCAGTCAAGTTGGAGCTGGCTTCTAATTACCCGAATAGAGCTTTCCACTTAAATGAGATATTTAAGGAATGGTTTTAGCAGTGAGCTTCCATGGTGGGGATTCAACCCAGTTCTTGCCCACCCAATCCTGGAATAAAGACGCGAGACAGTATTATGGATTAAATACGGACCACATTTAATTAAATTAACATCAAAATTTGTATTTTCCAACCTTGAGAAAGTAGGGGGGCTGCTGTAGTGTGGAAACAGGAAACGGCAGGGGTATCCAAATACCCCTCTGAACATGATATGGGTGGGTCCCTGGCCCCGGTTCCAGCGGTCAAAGACAGCAGGAACCCGGCTGGTTGCTAATAAACACCCCCAGACCTCAAGACATCTTTAATTGATGACTGTTGGTCCGGAAGTGGCTCGGCGCATTTTCCTGCCACCAGTCCTGTAATCACACAATCCGCAGAGCCAGGCGGTTGGATGTGTTGTTGGCTCACCTGAGATTACAATTGGGACACACCAAAAATACCTGTTATTTCTGCACTACCTGCCACAGCATAGGGACTAGCCATGCTATGTACCATGCCTGCCAAATAGCCACCCAAGCTCAAAAAGCAGGCCCCCCCTTTTGATGTCCTCCAAAAATTATGTCCAAACCTGCATCCGACAGGTGAACACCATCTAATCTAAACAGTACATGTTTCTCAACTTGGACCCTATGGTGAACTATCACCAATTCGAGGCTGCAGTAGCAGCTTCCTCAAGGAGCCTAGCCAGGCTAACCGAAGAATAATTGTGACACATACATATCTGAGGCTGCAGCAGCAGATGCCTCTATCACAGTTCCTCACAGAGCCTAGCCAGGCTGGCCGAGGAATAATTATGACCACACGGATCTGAGGCCACAGCAGCAGACGCCTCTACTTACCTCACGGTTAATGCCCAGCCGGGCCTTGTTAACAACCAAACCTCTTGATGCCTCACCAGGCTAACCAAGGAATGATCATGGACCACACTGATCTGAGGCCGCAGCAGCAGATACCTTATAACATCAGCAGTCCTCTCAGCGCCTCTACAGACTACCTGAAGAATTATCGTGGACCACATTAATTCGAGGCCACAGCAGCAGACACCTCTATAACATCGCCAATCCTCTCAACACCTCTACAGGCTACCTGAGGAGTGATTGCAGACCACACGGATCCGACGCCGCAGCAGCAGACACCTCTATATACTTTCCTGCCAATGCCCCACCAGGCCTTGTGAACATCACCAGTCCTCTTGGCAACTCGCCAGGCTAACCGAGAAGTGATTGTGGGCCACACCAATATGAGTCCACAGCTGCAGATGCCTCTAGATCACTCCCCACAGGGATATGGCAGCACAGCGTTCACCCGCATCACAGTAGCTACGGCCAATGATCCCTAGGCGCTATTGTCCATCGGACCTGAGAAGACCTGCAAAAACATAAGTCAGGTCCCTGCCTACACCTCAGTTAATGTCTACATCATACATTTTGTAACTCGTCGCAGACCATTAGCCCAAGCATGTGATTTCCTCCGGCCACTCTGTCAGACCTCTGTAGAAAGAAATACTGGCAGCTCCCTGGCTTCTGGTGCTAGTTTCCTAAACTGCTCACTCTGTTGGCGTGATAAAGCAATAGCCATCCCATTGTCTATACCTGGGACATGGTGGGCCCGTGGAAACATAACCCATTCTGGTTGCAACATGAGGCCATTCATAAAATAAAAAACCTCTTGGTTGTCACACCAGAAGCAGACCACTGCTTTTGACCACTACAGCCATAGCACGCCCTACCATTGGACAAAATTACAGAAATGTCAAGTCCTTTGTAATGCCTTTCTGGAGCCATTCCTCTGGCCATACTGCAGTGCACCAACTACCTTGGGCATAGATTTCAAATTCAAGAGCTTCTGAAGCATCCAAGTGAATCTGAAAATCTGTCCTCAAGCCTATGTTCCTTTCCCCAGGATGAACTCCAATTGAATTCCTCCAAAATCAACTCTGTATTAGGGGATCTTTTCTCATACCGTGAGTTACTCAGGTTCTCTGCACTGATTCACACATACCCTACCTGGCACCACACCGGTGCTGAAGGACTGCTCGGCCCAACACCA